CAATAGCTACATCAACATTTCTACATGGTTAAACCTTCTGCAGTGGCAATGTTGTTAATGAATATGAATTGGAACATTTTTGCAAAACCGTAAGTGCCACAGTGCAACATATGCAAAAACTCGTACATTGGCTCTAGAAGGCGCATTTTTGCATCGATTTTCTTCGGGTTCTCATTTTTTAAAATCTGGCTGTAATTTCTGATCAGATTGCACTTGAAAAATTACGAAATTCGAAAATTTGTCGCACACTTTTTTCGATTGAATTTTGCAATTTTTTTGCAACTTTTTTGTTTTTGCATCGATTGATCTGAAATTTAAAATGCAAAGAGACATCAATAAAGTCAATGATATGATACAGTCAGAGTTTTGACGTCACTTCCGGTTTTGAAGGTGGAATCAATTGAAAGTACAATCTACTTCCGGTCAAATAACTTCCGGTGTAAATGAAATAGGTCAACGGAATTTATGCAGGTCGTAAGTAAATGCTAATACAAAAAAACGAAGAATATAAAATCCAGACTGGAAGTGATACTTTGGCCGCCATCTTGATTTTCTAATTTTCTTAAAATCGAAATAAGTCCTTAGGGATAAACTAAATCTGCATAAATTTGGTGTCGATGTAATCTGCTGTCTAATGTTCACAAAACGTTGCGAGCCGATTTTTGAATTTTGCTTTTGCATTTTCGCAACTTCAGGTTGAATTTTTTCAAAGTTTGAAAGCTTATTTCTTGTGACCTTGACCTTTGATGACCTTGACCTTCATAGAGTCAATGGTTATTGACCTTGGCTATCATTTGATACTTTGACCTTTGACCTCCGACATGTACTTCCGGTTTTATAGCTATCCGTAAAAGGCCAAATTCGCAAATTTGGACTGATCTAGCACGTGACCTAATTAACCTAGAGGGTTAATTTTTTCGGTTTCCTAATGTTCTTCTCATGCACTTTACATAGATATATAACAATTGCTTTTTTAAAGCAAAATTTTTCAAATTTGAGGTTTTTTTTACCATATTTGCGTCTTTTTGATCTTGTATGTATATCTTATGATCTATTTTATGTAGAACCTTGATATTTGGAATACAACTAGACGCTTTAAATATGAATTCATCTATGACCCAAAAATTGGGGTGGGCGTGGCACATCCGGGTTGAATTACTAATTGTTTACATTTTGGTGCTGGGGCATAACTCGCATAGTATACGTTTGTTAAAAAAGGGACTTTGCATACAATTACCTCATCCTTTTGGCCAGTTTGTGTTAACAGCTCAGTTGTTTCAGCTTTATAGTTCCAAAAAAGGAACGGGTTTTAACATTTGGATATTTTTATTTTTCGATTTTGACCTTTGTTGACATTTGGTGACCTTTATCTTTTGACCTGAATAATGTAGAAGCTTGAAATTTGAAACACAACGTAACATTTGGAATATCAATTGCCGCATGCAAAAAAAATTAAGGTGGGCGTGGCACATCATGGTTATATTACTCATTATTGATATTTTTTGCCAGGAGCATAACTCGCAAAGTATACGTTTGTTCAAAATGGAACTTTACATACAATCATCTCATGTTTTGAGCCACTTTGTCTTAGAAGTTTGGTTGTTTCCGCTTCATAGTTCAAAAAAAGGAACAGGTTTTGGAAATTCAAAATTTTCAATTTTTGACCTTGACCTTTGTTGACCTTGACCTTTGTAGGATCAAAAGTCATTGCCATTGGCTATCTATTTATACTTTTATATTTGCTGTCTTATGTCAACTTCCGGTTTTATAGTCATGTGCAATTAGAAATTTTGATGACATATATCTCTTGATCTTGATCTTGACCTTTTTAGACCTTCTCATTTACAAGATCAAAGGTCATTGACTTTGGCTATCTGCTGATACTTTCATTTGTGAGGTCTGACGTCTACTTCCGGTATTAGAATCTTCTAAAAAATAAAAAATTATCAACTTTAGACGTGTTCGTACGCTTGACCTAATTATCGTCGATGGTTGATTTTTTCAGGGTCTTTAGCAAATTGCTACATTTGCAAAGTCCCACTCTGTGCCACGAGTGGCTCTAGTTTTTGATTGCATCTATTATTACAAGATATACCCTAGAATTTGCATTGTAATGACTGGTCCACTTTCAGCATTGTAACAAAAATAATCACTATTTAAAATATTTTAGATTGTTAGCATCAATTTCTCTTTCTTTTAACATAGCAGTTTGTTGCACTGCAATTGCGTATCAGTGTCAAATTTGTGGAGCGCTTTTTTTCTATAACAGTTGTAGATGTATATCATTTTAGCAAAGTAGAACAACACTGCAGTTTTCAATCAGATTTATGCCACCATAAAAAAAACTTTGTTACATGAATTATGATTCAAATGTAGGTCTATATTCAAAAGAAGTAGAAGCCTTACACAGACCTCACAATTATTTTCCTGCACTTTTTCCTACCTTGGGACAAATTTGTCACTGTAAACAGGCACCTAATCCGAACAAAAAGAAATGCAACATGTTAGCAAAACGTAGACACTATAAT